TTTACACTGAACCTGGAATATGAATTCACCTGTTTGTACAAGAACTTCAGACAGGAACCGTTAAGGGAACGTGAAGCGTGTGGTGAGTTTTGACTACTGGGAAACTTCTAGACCTTTAATTTTTAGAACTTTTATATTTCTTACCAGATAAACTTATTTTGCATCCTTTTCCCACTTACAAACCATAGAAGCAGTTGTGAAGGAAAAACTATTTTTGTTGTAGAGAATAGACTGTTTAAAACCTTTGGAAATCATCATTGTGACAAGCTGTGGTTTGTCTGTCATTCCAGCTGTACCTTGAATAGAAGCATGTAGATGATAAGCAAAACAAGCCAAAATCCAATGACAGGAAGGTGCCTCTGCTTTATGTTAGTACACAAACACTTTGTTTGCATAGAATATTGAAATAATTTCAAGAAAATATTCTACTAAAGATGAAGATGACAAAAATGCAACTGTTTTGGAATGTAATTTGTCCCACTGTAGCCAAGATTTTTAAAAAATAACTGAAATATAAAACAGAAATTGTATTTTAAGAATGACTGTTTCTGGTTACCTGGAGACAGAGCATGTTTTCCTTCTGCTATGGCAACGAGAACATGGGAAGTACAGTACCCCAATAACTTGGAGTTCTGCCACAACATAGATGAAGAACTACAAGCCCAGTATGAGGGCGCTGTCTTTCCCACTGCTTGCAGCTTTCAGCCTGAATCTTAGTTTGCCTGTCTCCCCACAGTTCTGACCTACACAACACATGGAAAGTGGCTTTAAGATGCATAAAGGCTGTAATACATGCTAAATCCAGTGTCGAGAGTGATTGCTGCATTAGGAAGAGATAGTTGTCAGCAGCACTAAAGGAATACATCTTTACTTGAAAATGCTTGGGTTCCGTTACTCAGATGAATCGAACCCTCTAGTACACCTTGTGTCTCATCTCTGACATGAATCAGATGCGATTTTCTTTGAGATTTTTCATATTTCATTTTTCAGGTCCTCATCAAGTATTCCTTTTGCTTTGAGATTATTTGGCTGGGTTTTTTTAATCGTGTTTGAAGTTGCAGGCATGTATTTTGCACTGATTTGTAGCTGTTGCTTCTCTTGTTGAATTGCATATATTAGATTTGGGATGGCTGACGTATCTCTGAGGATGCTTTGTTTCTGAGCTAGGTGTTTAAGGGGCTGAGAGAAGCAGAAGGGTGATAACAGAGTCAATTCCCAGTTGTCTTTGGTAGTGGGGGTGTGGGAATTTCTCGGGTGACTGACACAGTGGTAAACTGGGTACAGCAACTCTGGTCGTGCCCACACATTGACACCAGTGTGCAGAGTCTGGCTTGGCCAAGCAGGACTCGAGAGCTGAGCCTGCAGCCCTCGGTGTTACGGCTTTCCTTCTCAGCAGAGACTACGGCGGCTCTTCACCTGCCCAAACAGGCTGGTATTGCAAGGGGGGCAGGGGGGAAATAGGGTGTGTATGGGATGGCAGATGTGGGCTGCGGGGCTGGGAGAGGGGTTCCTATTGGGAAAGGGGGAAAAGGTGAGGATAAAGAGCTGAGCAAAGACAGCTCAAAAAAGAGGGTTTGTTAGGCAAGTGGCAGCACTGTGTGAACACACTGTACTGCTTCAGGGACAGGGCAGTTCCCAAACTCCACTGGAGCTTTAGTATGAAACCAAGCTGTGAGTAATTATTTTAGCCTCTCTCTGACCAGAGCCGTACAATTTCCAAATTGTGCTGGAGGTGCTGGAGCTGGCGCCCTGCGGCATGGCTGGAGTTAGAGAGGGCATACCGCTTCAGCAGGGCTCCGCGTCTGGCAAGCGTGTCACATCCACCTTGGGGCTTCAGCCTCCTCTCTGCCCTCCCGGCTCTAAACACGCACACAGCAACGCTTTTGCTGGCTGGCCGGGAGCATGTGCTGTTGGCAGCCACCACGCCCAGCAGCTTGTGTGCTGAATACCCATCCACTGGCTAAAAGGAGAGTGTGTGTAAATGTTTGTCAGCTGACATGCATAGGCAGATGCATTTTTAAATCATGTAACCTATTGTCCGAGCTGTAACTCCACCACGTGAACCCACAAATGAAAATGTGTTGAGTGTGTTAACAATTTCACCTTGTTACTAAAGTGAGCTTGCTGAGCACTGTTTTCAGAAGGCCAGCTGGATGGTTACTCTCAGCTCTAAGTTCTTCAAGTTATCATGGGCTTCCTATTTTGCAGTTTTGTTAAAATTCATTAAGAGGGAGTTTTCTCTTCTCATACCTGTTGCATGGTATGTGCTTTATTGTGGTGGAGGTAATTCCGAGACAGTCTGTCCATAATTCTTGATAAATGCATGTGTGAAGATTATATAATGTATCATACATAAGCAATAAGCAAGATATGATGGTAGGTATCACACATTAAAAATGTGGCTGCAAGAGAGATAAATGTCATAGATTAAAAACGTACATGTTGGGTCTAGAAGTAAACACAGCAGTGTTTAACCCAGCGGAATGCACTATAACTTTATATACTCTAATATTAAAGAAAATACTGCTGGGGTGCAGGTTGAAGAAGAGAAACTTCAGAACTCAGGTCTTTTCATAGCTCACATACCTTTAAAAAAAAAACCACAAACAAAAAGAAAGTTTACAAGACAGTCTTTCACATAAACTATAGAACAGACTTTTTTCTTAAATATTTGGCTTAGTGCTATAATTGGAGGGAAGAACCAGTGTAAACTGTGAAAAGCTCAGCCTTGTAAATAAGTGACCTACATTGCTTTCCGAAGAGTCTGGGAGGATGACAGCGTGATGTCTTCTCTCTGTAGTTAACTCTGTGGTTACCTGCGCGCAGTAGTCAAGTGTTTGGAACTGTAAGGTGTGCCTCTGTGCTGTCCAACAGCCTTTTGGAGCCAGGATGCCTGTCTGGCGGACGTCACTGTGTCTGACTCGATGGCCGGTGGCCTCGCAGAGGACCGGAGTAGCTGGCTGAAGTTAAACATAACTCACGTTCTGTGTCTTCTAGTGGGTTTTACCCATCTGAAAGCTGTACCTAGATGTTTCCAGTTGGTTTGCTGTGTGTGTTCCTCCAAAAAAAAAAAACCCAACAAAAAAAACTTGATTAGATCGAGCACGTGGAATTGTCATCCTTTCTGCTACCTTTCGCTGTAGGTCTTAGTCCTTGGTATTTCAGGAGAAGACCTTTTCATCTAGTCCTGCTGCAACTAATGCTTTTCTCTGCCCTTTCTGTTGTTTCTGTCCTTCTCTGGGTTTTTTCTTTTGACATCTGCTACCTTTATTTCAGGCTTTCCCTGCACAGGTTTGCAGTAACAATTGCAAGAAGCCAGTTGGTGCATTGTTTCTTCAGTGCAGTGCTCTTCAAGGGTCCCTTGATTTGTCAAATTTGGTCCTAGTTAGCGCGTGCATGCGTGGACAGCTGGCTATTTATTTCCTGCTTTTGGCAGGAAAGAGAGGGCAGGATGTAAATAATGTGTGTTTGAATTCAGATTCTGTTGTGTTAAAACCTTTCAGATATAGCTGTCAACAAATGTTTGTGTTTAGTGCTACTTTTTTTGCTATCCTGCAGAAGCGGGCCTGAACACAGCTTCCTATATCCTTCTTACATTAACCGATGTGCATTGTCTCTTCTTGGCCTTCCTCCAAATATGTACTGTTTAGACAACTGTTTAAACCTAAAAGTATCTCAAAATAGAGCTACTTTCTTACTTGTCAACATGCAGTAGCAGAAGCGAATTTGTGTGCTAGCAGCACTAGCGTTGCCACTTCGTGACTTTTGAATAGTTTGCTGTGCAAATGGTATTGCTGTGGATGTCGTACAAAACATGGCTGAGATAAATTGTATGTGTTACAGTACACAAGGCCTAATGGATTAGTTTTCCATTGCTCATTTTAAAATTAAACCCACTAACTTCCTGTTTTTCTTGTCCTGAAGTCCTGTCTATCTGAGCTCTTACAGTTTTTAAAATAGCCTGTCAAAAAAGGAATTCGGTAAAGAGACTGAAATGTGACTTCTACTTAACCTTTGATTTTATAAACAGTTGCTTGAGTCCTAAATAGATGAAAACAGTCTATTTTTAGGCCCTAATTTAGAGAATTGATATTTCCACATTTGCTTTGTCATAGCTGGTAGTAGTTGCTCAATTGTGAAAGCTTGTAGCTATTACAAATGCTCGGAGGATTGCTGAGTGTTCTGCTGTAATGCATTAAGAAGCTGCGTGCACTGTACATTTCAATTTATAATAAGGGGGTCTAGCTGATAGCACAGACACTGAAATATGTCAAGTCTAGACTACTGTCTTAAAAACCAAAGGCTCTTAGCTTTTTGGTGGAATAAGCTGGAAAATAACTGATGAGGACAGTTGAAGTACAGCAGACTTCAAAAAGCCACAAGGCCGGTGTGAGTCAGGAGGTTTCGGCCGCTGCTTGCCTGCCCTGTTGTGATGAAAAGGGAAATGGTGTTTGAAACGGCTGCTCCGTCTCGCGAGGTTTGAGTGGTTTCTGAAGGAGGTTGCACGTAGACCCTTGTTAGAGGCGGGAGATGAGTTTCTGCAACACTGGGTTTAGCAAGGAAAAACGGTCAAGAAATAGAAAAGCAAAGTTCCCTGCCTTCAGAAAATGCTAACATTAGTACCTTGTCAACAACACAGATAATGACTGAGAAGTTTAATATAACAGGTGTTCTGTTATACAGCTCTTCATACCTTTGTGTAATAAAAACAGCTTGCTGCAGATCTTAGAGTGGAACTACGTATTGTAGTAAGTGGAGGAAATTATGATGTAGCTGATACTTCCATGATCCCCTTTAATATCCCAGTGCGCATTGCAAATCACTGTGTTTATAAAGTCGTTCTTACTGCTGCTTGTGAGGTAGAAGGTAATGTCATCATGTGTTGTTAGCCATGGGAAAAAAAGGAGGAATATTACCTCAAACCGGACTTACGGACTTGAGTTATGTAATTACGTTCAGTTTATCTCTCTGACATAATGCCAACTTTCTCTTTCAGAGCCATGGTGTCATGGAAAGGCGTATACTTTGTACTTGCACTATTCTTGGGAAGTTTTTTTGGAAGTATATTCATGCTCGGTCCTTTTCTACCTTTGATGTTTATGTCACCGGCCTGGTATCGCTGGATCACCGATTGTGTTGTGGCTACTTGGCTCACGCTCCCAGTGGTAAGTTGCAGTTTGAGCCAGGTTCTGGGCAGATGTTTGTAATCCCATGATTTAGTTTACTCACTAACGCTTCTATTTTTTGTTAAAGAGGTTTTTTTATGCTTTCATCTGTACCGGCCTTAATATACTCTGTGGAGACTTCGGTTTTAACTCAGTGTTGCAGATTGTGAGCCTGCCTACAGTCCCCTGTCTTCTTCCACAGCTTACATATAAGCTAATGCCACGTCTTAATTGCACTTAATTGTGCCTTTTCATGACATCTCCACCCAGTGTCAGTTCGATGCTGATCAGAGAAGAGTAGGTGAAGCAGTCATAAGTAATTAAGTTGAATTTTTTAAATTACAAACTTCCTAAATGAGTTGTCTTATAAACTCTTCCTTTCGACTGTGATCCAACTATCTAATTAGGAAAATTATTCATTGTCTGGTACATTATTGCTGACCTTCACTGTTCTCTTACTTAATCCTTTTAGAATTTAGTCCTTGTAGTTGAATTAGAGACAAATGATTTCAGGTGAAAAAGAACTACTTCCCCTAGAATGATGTCTTGCTGACTTACACACTGCATCAACTTTATAGCTGTAGGCGTATGGAAATCAGTAACAAAGCTTTTCCCTGAATTGTTCCTGAGGAAGTGCAATATGAATGGGATCTGTCTCTTCATCCGTTCTCTAAAGAACAAGGGACATTGTTCCTCTATCCCTATAAAGATTTAGCTTTTTCTGAAGT